CCCCCGCCCCGGCCCCGCTCCCCTCACTCCCGACCCCCGGGTCCCCGGGCTCAGCCCCTCACTCGCCTCTTCCGAGTCCATCGCCAGCACCGGGAAGCCCGGGGGGGGGAAACCGGGACCGCTCGCGCCCTTCGCTTTCGCTTTCGGTCCCGCAGCCCCGCCCCGGCTCCGCCCGGTCCCGGGGGGGGGGGGCCCCGTTCAGCGCGAGCTGTCGGGAACGGAACTACTTGACACGGTTTGATTTAGGAACTATGATATATATTAATGATGGAGGGTAGATCGCAAGGTTGAATTTTAGCAGCACTTAATCATTAGCCAATTTAATGGTTAATTTCTCCATTTAAGGATTTCTCAATTTAAGGATTAACAAAGTGATTCAATAGAATAATTAATTATTGACTTAATATCAAGTTCCAGAATGACCAAGATTCACACTCACTCACTACAGTGAGTCCAAATATGTCTCCATAAGTGCAAACAGATGGTACCAAAGCCCCACGGGAGGAGTCACCCCCCCAACCCGAGTTTGTCGCTGCCAGGAGTGGGGTCCCTTTGCCACAGGCACCCCCCCAAGGGACAGTGGGGGCCCCTCCTGCTCCCCCCACAGAAACATTCAGATCCAGTAAAATACAGACCCCCCCCACTCAAAAGGACTGACACACAGACTCAACACATGGACAGATGTTGGGTCAGGAGGGGGGGTTGCTCCATCACACAATCCCAGCCCAGACAGCTCGAAAAAACCTCTTCTTTCCACTCATTTCTCACAGGGACCCTGCTCCCACCCGACCTCCCCTCCCCACAACACCCCGATCCCCCTCAGGCCCAGCCAGGGAAGGGTCTGCCCCCTCCTGCCCCACGCACCCACCTTCAATTTGACACCCCCACCCAGGGAAGGGCATCACTGGCACCGAGAGCTTGTGAGAAGGCAACCAACCATCACACACCCCCAACACAGGAACCATTCACCTCCCCTCTCCCATTCCCTGGGCAAGGGGAGATTTCCAGAGGGGACAGGGGTGACATGAATCACCCCTCCCTCAAAGCCACACTGATGCTATGGATCCCCCGTGGCTGGAGAGGGCTCTCCCCTCTCCACACACCACGACCTCCACGCCCCAGGGAAGGAGGCCCAGCAACACTCTTTTTCATACAGCAAAACAAAAATGGTTTTTAGTAAACATTTATTGATGCAACCTTGTTACACCTTCAGAATCGCAGCTTCTGGAAGAACCACTTATTCTTCCCTGTCTTGTATCTGAAAGAGAAGCACAAAGGTTAGAGATGGGTCTGGAACTGCAGTGGTCACAGAGCTCCTGCTGCAGAAGGAGCTTCTGAACACAAAACTGAACAGAAGGTCCATTAACCCTGATGCTGCTGGGCAAAATGCTGCCCCATCCTGCTACACCCAGTGATGGGCAGTGACACCACATTGTCACCAGGTGCCCCCAAGACCCCACTGTGCTGGAGGCTGCAGCACCCCCCCCCACCTCACCCCGAGCCCACGGCCCTTGGAAAACTGTTCCCATCTCATCCCACCAACCCCTCGGGCACACGGCTGTGTGAACACGCACAGGAAGCCAGAAGGAAGACACTGAACTAAAATAATATACAAAAAAGCCAAGGCAGAAGTGCCCACCACGGGAACTCAGCCACACTGTGCCACAACCGCAGCTGGTGCCAGCCCCGGGGACGTTTGATGCCACCACGGGAGAGAGGAGCTTCCAACTCACCTTTCCTCAAATTTCACCTTGGCCTCACGTCTGGCTTTGCGCTTTAGAGCGGGGTCCCTGAACACGTCCTTATTGACCACAGTCTTGTCCAGTGGGATATCGACGGAATACCTGGGCGGGAGAGGGTCCAGAGTCACGGGACGGGCTCAGGGAGGAAAAGAGAGAACAGCCCCAACCCACCAAACGCAGGAGCTACAGCCACGTTAAAGGATGGGGGCTCTTAAAGCCTCAGCTCTGGAAATCACCAAAGTCCTACAGCACCCAAAGGTTTTTAATTCAGGCTACAAAGAAAAAGGCTAATGGCTTCGCAAGAGACAAGCTGTTCTCTCCACAGGCTGCACTTGGCAACCTGGGCTGGCTGGAGCTCCGTGGGGAGCAGGAGAGACCTCCCTGGGCACAGCAGCTCCGCCAGCACCCCCAGACCCTCATCCCGGAGGCTCATTTACCGACACCCCCTCATCAAGAGCAAAGGGAGTGCGGCTGAAATAAAGTCACAGACATTTCCCTTCAGCATCACACCCTCCACCTCCCCGTCTCGACAGAGCAGATGCCCCCGGTTCATCCAGCCCCGTGACTGAAGACCCCAGTGCCTCCCAGCACCCACCGGAACCACCGTCACCGAGAGCAGGGCCCCGGTGGCAACACTCACCGGGTGGGCATCACACTCACCGGGTGGGCATGAGGTGGTTGTAGTTGTAGACCTTCACGAAGGACTTGATCTTGGACCTCTTGGCGATCTTCTTCTTGCCCATGGCGGCCGTCACCTTGCGCGGGTACCGGTCGATGCCCGCCACCAGGGCATGGCTGTACGGCCGGTCCGAGGTGCCGTCGTCGATGTTCTGCAACACAGGCACCGCGGCCGGCGCTGGCACCGGAACGACGGCCTCCGCGCAGCCCCTCGAGAGCCGCCACAAACGGGCAGCGCCCGGGGCCTCCCCGGAGCCACCCCCGAGCCCCGGCGGGGCCGCCCCGCGCTCACCTTCACGATGACGGCCTTGCGCCCCGAGTAGCGGCCGGCCAGCACCAGCACCACCTTCCCCGGCTTCATGAACTTCCCCATGGCTGCGGAGACACCGCGCAAGCGGTCACGGCCCGGTCCCGACCGCCCCCGACCCGCCGCGCCCGCCGATGGCGGCGGATACGGCCGCTCCCGAGAACTCACCGAAGCTCCCGCCGCGATGGCGCCCAAACCGGAAGAGGAAGCGGCGGCCGCGCCTCCGACCTTTCACCTCACGTCGCGCGACGTCACTTCCGCTCCGGGCGGGCTCGCGCGGGGCCATGGCGCCGTTGCCGGGTAACAAACGCCGCTGCCGCCGCCGCCGGGCGTCAGTCTGTCCGTCCCGGAGCTCTCCCCCCGATCCCGGCCGCCCCCCGAACGGACACCCCGGCTGCGCGGCCTTCCCCGGTGGCGGTGGCAGCGCGGGCCTGGCCTCCCCGGTTGCGGCGGCAGCAGGGCCCCGAGCCAGGCCCGGTCCCCACAGGAGCCACAACCCAGGCCCAAAGGCCGATTATAAACACCTGAAGCCGCCGCAGAGAGGTCAGCGAGGAACAAATAACACGGTCACGGGGCCGGGGATCTCCCACACACTTGTCAAAGCCGTTTAATGCATCCCCTCTACAGCACCGGGCGCCGCGGTGCCAAGCCTCGCACAGGAGCTCGGAAACGGGAGCTGTGGGGTCGCTGGGCAAAGTCCCTCACCCACCCCCTGCAGAGCATGGCTGCGGGTGGCCAAGGGGCCCAAGCAGCAGAGCCCGTGACCCCCGTTTTCTCACACGTTTGTGCTGCAGAGGGCAAGTCCCTCGGCCGCCCCGAGGCAGCCAGGACACTCGCTGGCATCTGCTCACCAGCGAGGTGTTCCTGCTCCTCAGAGCCCCACACCACAGGCAGGGTGAGGGGGGCTGCACAGCCCCCAGCAGCTTCGCACTGACAGTCCCGTAAAACACAGATTTCCACCATCAAGTCACCATATAAGATTTCCTGAAAAGCAAGTTATCGATTTCAAAGAGCCAAACTCGGTCTTAAAAAAGCCAGGCTTCTCGAGCCCAACAGCTGCCTTATTCGTGGAAAATGGATGATCTACAACAAAAAATACATCAAAAGGCGTCTTTGATGTTTTTCAGCTGCCGGACAGCCAGGTCAACCGGGAGGTTGAATTTCAAGTTGCTGAGGCGACTGAGGACGTTGAGGGCACTCTCGAAGCCCGTGTTTGCCATGTAGCTCCACGGCTGGTAGTGGGACTGCACCAGAGCTCCAGACTTGCAGATGAGATTGACCCAGGAGACCAGGCGCTGCTCGTTCAGTGCCATACACACCAGGGCTTTCAGTTCCGAGTCTGCACTGCGCTTGAAGGGGTCGTGCTCTGTGAGTACTGTGTGGATGGCTGTCAGCAGGCTCTGCTTGGGGGTGATGGCCACCCCTCCGGTCACGGGCAGGGCAAAGGACTGGGAGAGCTTGCGAGCCGGGGACTCCACGAAGGCTTGTCCGTTCTTAGTGTTGTAATACTTCACAAAGAGCTCCCAGGGGTGCATGGTCTGTGGCGAGGAGGTGAAGGCAGGGATCAAGCAGGCGATGGGTGCCAGCACCAGGCTCATCCCTTGGGAGGAGGCGTAGAGCCCGTGAGCCATCAGGTCTCGCAAAGCGATGGTCAACTCCTTCCGCACGGCGAGAGTCAGCTCGTCTCTGCCTCCCAAGGGGACGTCCTGCAGGTCAGAGGAACTGATAACGTGCTCTTCGTGCTGGTGTTTCAGAGCCAGCTGCCTCACCCGCTCCACGGACAGCTCCAGTTTCTTAATTAAAGGGGAATAGTCCTTGTTGGCTTGGTCCTTCTGCCAGAGGGTACGAGGAAGCTGACCGGTAGCACAGCCAAACTGGCTGACAGCAAATATCTGCAGCACGGCAAGCATGCGACGCATGAGGTGCAGGCCCGTTTCTCGCATCCTTCTGGCATCTTCTGGGTTCACTGATCAGATCAGAAAAGACAAAAAAAATATACTCTTATTAAGGAATCAACAGCTCTACTCTTTCGTGTACACAAAGGGAGCACAAATGTCTCCTTTTGTCACTAGAACTGATGCCACTTTTTCTAGTTTTAAAGCACTGAAGCCAACCAGAAAAGCAAGCATTTGCATGGTCTGTTCTTGGCAATAGCTTTCCCAGTGGGCATGTACACGGGGAGAAAAGATCATTCCTTAAGAGACGGTGATATCACACACGAGGTCATTAGGAGATACCAAATCCTCTGCTGAAGGAGATCACTGCCTGCTTTCAAGAGGTGCCCTGTCCCAGCAGGCTGACGTGCACTGCTTACTCCTGATGCCATTAATAAATTCAATTTGAAAGAGTAGCTACAGTGGGTATCGACCCAAAGTCCATCTGGGCCAGACTCCTACCTCTGACTAGTGACAGATGGCAATAAATTCCTGTGGTAAGCACACCAGTTGCATTATAAAGACACTGGATCCATCCAGCTCCCTGTACCCGCTCTCAGAGCTAAGAACTCAAAGAGTATTAATTACAGCACAGCCCCACGGCACGTACAAGGCAAGGCTGCTCAGTCTGTCAGAATTTTGCACTATCAGAAGCCTCTTCTGCTCCCAACCTTGGCTGAGGACCAATCCCACCCTCTGCTGCACGCTTGGGTTCTGTGACTACTCTGTGACTACCCTGAGGAGGAGGGTAAAGGAACTGGACACAGGAGCAGGAAAGAAACCACCTGCCAGAAAGAAGCAAAGCAGCCTAGTGTGGCTGGGGCTGGATTGTGCTTGCTGACCCTAAAATGAGGCGCCAGAAGCTCCGAGCCAGGCTGTGCCCACCTCGATTTCCAGAAGGACGTGCATTTGGTTTGTAGGAGCCACCGCCATCTTTTCTGCCTGCACATTCGCAGTGTCCATCTTCGGCCTTACCAGAGCTTCCAACTTCATCTACAACAAGAATTTCACAGTGTTATTTTAAGTTGTGTATCCCAAGTATTACGGTCAATGCCTTAATAGATTTCTCTGCATTTTTTTTTGCAAGCCTCTCATTCTCCCCACCACCAGTTCAGAGAGATCTGTATTTCCCTGTGACCCAGAAACCCGTCCTGCATCCTCTGACACCGGTGACATCCCGCTTCAGAATTCTCTCCAGGAATTACAAAGCAGTTATATCTGCGCATCTGAAAACCCAGCACTGACCCTGAATGAAGCTGATGAACATCTCGAGGTCCCTTATCTGTGTCTTCAGCTGTTCCACCAGCTGCTCCTTCACCCTGGCCGGGTTAACGATCTGTGCTATGGCAGCGTCCACGCGCTGCCGCAACTCCTCCGGAGACAGCGTCGCCACGTCTTCGCTCAGGTCCATGTCCAGCTTCTTTATCAGCTCGTTTATAATCATCTGCAACACACGAGGTGGCAGCAGGATCTCACCACCCGGCGCTGCTGCCCGTGAGCTTCAAAGTGCCCCTTTTACCCCCCCATCACCCCGGGAACAGCCCACTCTGCCAGAGATGACACGGGACAGGTTTATGCACACAGACAAACTACTGGATTACAGCTGTTGGCAAGAAATAAGGGCTGATGGACTCCGTAAGCTCAGGAATGGGAGGAGGGAAGGGGTGGGAGGGGGCTGGGAGCCTCACCCGTTGCCTTTCCATGACCACGGACTGTGGCAGGGAGTCGTAGCTGCCCTCCTGGTAAGCAAACGTCTCCAGGTCATCCAGCTGCGTCTTGAGCTGCAGGATCAGCTCTCTCTGCTTCTCCTTCTGCACCTCCGTCTGCTCCTGCTTCTCCTGCTCGCTCTGAGAGAGTCACCCGTCAGCCCGGATGGGAAATTCACCCCAAAATCTCCTCCCGGGGGACAGGACTGTGGTGCTGGCGCGATCCTGTGCCCCCTGCCCGGGGTGACCCGGCCTTAGGGGGCGGGGGGGACGCGCCGGGGTGCTCTCCAGGGGGTCCCCTCCACCCCCCGCGCTGTGCGGGGCGTCTCCTTCACCCGTGAACACCCCTCACGCCGCGGGAACGTTGACAGCCCCGACCCCTCCCGCTGTCCCGGTAGGGCCCCTCCAGCTCCGCGGGGACCCTGTAGGTGGCCAGACCCACCGCCAGGGGGCGCTCCCGGTGCGGAAGGCGG